CCCCCCAATTCCCTCCCATCCTTTCCTTCCCCTCCCCTCCAATGGCGGATCTACTTGAATATTAAGGGGGGCAGTTGCCCCCAGTGAAAGTTGTATTGCTACAATATACTATATACCCGAGTAAGATTTTCTTTAACGTAGTGCTCCGTATAAAAAGTGCCCCCAGTCAATTAGTCAATGCTAACGATTGCCCCCATCCTAGGAATAGAGTCCAACCAAATCTTTGCCCAGCCCAATTAAGAAAAAACTCTTCCTTAACTCATTAATTCTTCTCGTTCCACATTCTCAATCTCTGCCATGTTAATTTTTGTTTTCTAGGGTTAATTTATTCACCATAACTTTTCATTGACTTTTAATTTGTTTTCTGCTAGATATTTTAAAGAAATTGAACTTTCCATTTGTCTTTTCAATTGCTTAGGTAAATTTTACTTTAATTTTCATTGTTTCTAAAATTTCAGTCTCTCACTAGAAAGTTATATTTAATTCACGCTTTTAAAGCAGACTCAGAGAATATAGTCTTCAGGACTTTAGAATTTGACTTCAGTTTATCATTCTCTTTAGAAAAAATTTGAATTGATTTTTTTACACTTTTGGTACAAAAAATTAGGTTAGATATAACATGTGATTCTGTTAACTAACTATTGTTAGAGACTTTTTATGTGAAATTGTTGTTTAAAAAGACTCAAATAGTGTAATGGCATATACTTAGGAAAATGGAAAAGATTCACCAATATTGGTTTTACAAGTAACTACCTCCACACTTGTCAAATGTTTTTGTACAATAAAACATGTGAGATGTTTTTCTACAATAGAGCATGTGAAGATTGATTTGCGCAATGGAATTGGAGACGAATTTTACTCGTATAATTTGTGGGGGAAGGTTCAAGTGACATTGAACCTTGATGTCATGGGATGACTCTGGGGCGCTACGGTGCCCCGTTCGTAAAATTGACGGTTCCTACTCCTCCTAACCCCCCGATAAATCACCCCACCCGGCACCGACCCGAACACCCCCCCACCCCCTTCAATTGCACCCCACAAGTTGATTTTGACTTTGGAGTCCAAATTTGACTCCAAAGTCAAAATCAACTTGTGGGATGCAATTGAAGGAGGTGGGGGGGGTGTTCGGGTCGGGGCCGGGTGGGGGGGTTTACCGGGGGGGTTGGGTTAGGAACCATCAATTTTACGCACGGGGCACCAGAGCGCCCCCGGGTCATCCCATGACATCAAAGTTCAATGTCACTTGAACCTTGGTGTAATTTGTGATGTGGAGAAAGAAGTGTTTTTTGATATTACAAAGATATAATTGATCATTTTCGAAAAATGAAAATTCATAAAGAACAATTCTAAAATGTAATAAGTTTATTTAAATATTTTCTCTTTATGTAATTTAAATTTATGCTAACTACATATGCCCCCGGTGAAAAAAATTTCTGGAGTTTGATTATCTTTCATATCCAAAGTTGTCAAATTTGGTGCACGAACTGTTTATGCATCATGGATATCATGTGATGTTTGGGGGGCTGTTTTATTATGTTTGCTTTTGCTTGGGGCCATCCCCATTGCTATTTTGTTCGGCTTATACTATTTACGTGGTATGATTTGGACTTTACGTGAGGGACTAAACAATAAGTTAGAATTTGGCGCCTTTCCCTGGAGACCAAAGGATTCAGACTTATTAAGACTAAGACTGAATACATGGAGTGTCATTTTAGTGGCCGAGAGACAGATTCAGGGGTGAAAATTAGGATTGACTCTCACCTAGTGCCCAAGGTTGACAAGTTTTGGTATCTTGGCTTGGTCATTCAGGCGGATGGGGAGTTAGACGGGGATGTTGCGCGTCGTGTTGGAGCAGTTTGGGCGAAGTGGAGGTTGGCGTCAGGAGTATTGGGCGATAAGAAGATCTCGTCTAGGATGAAAGGTAGGTTCTACAGGTTTGTAGTCAGACCAACTATGCTCTATGGAGCAGAGTGTTGGGCGGTTAAGAAGATTCATGTGCGTCGGCTATATGCGGCAGAGATGCGGATGTTGGAGGAGACTTTTTGAGTGACATTTTGACCAAACAATCACAGGTGGGTTGTTGGAGGAGACTTCAACAGTGTGCTTAAGCTGGAAGACCATAAAGGCTTGCCTACTCCCTGTCTTAGAAGCATGAAGGACTTCCGAGATGCTATTGATGCTTGCTCCCACACAACCATGGAACCTAAATCTGGAGGTGGTTGTTACACCTAGTCTGGAATAAGGAGTAAGGCCTAGCAGTCACTTTTGGAAACGTTTTTAGTAAGTTGAGGGAAGCAGAGGAGATAGCTTGGGAAGCCCATATGGCTTATTAAACTAACCCAACTGAAGGTAGTATTCTTATCACTCTAATACCTAAAACAGATAATGCTACAAACAGCGGGAAGGACTTCAAACCTATCTCACTTTTTTGAACAGATGGGCTTCAACAATTCTGTATCTATGCCCCTTATGGCGCCAACCTTTAGGCTACAAAGATCCCCCCATTCTCATCAATGGTCATTCAGCTGGGCAGTGAAGAGGTGTTAGGCAAGGGGACCCATTATCTCCTTTGCTGTTTATTTTAGGCAGTGAAGGATTCACTAAAAGTCAGACAAAAGTCAAATTAGCAGCCATCTTGCCTTTGCAGATGACTTGGTAATATTTATAAATACTCACACCAGAAACATCACGAGATTATTTGGGAGTATTATTTTGGGCATATCATATGAAATTCAATCCATAAAGGTATGAGATCGTACAATCAAGAGAACTTGACTAACTAAAAAAGAGCATCAGAAAGAAGACATTCCCATTAATAAGCTCGAACGAGCGAGTACAAGATTACAACCTAACAACAAAGAAAAGAAAAGCCCAACTAGCACTCTGAGATAAGCCTGTGCAGTAGTAGAATAAATGGATAAAACATTTCGCAGGTTGTCATCTCAATGTACTCCGCACTCTGGTTTTCAAGTGTCAGCAAGTCATCCTTAACATTCTCACCTGAACTGAAGTACATGTATCCCAAATCACTACTGCTTCTCCCTTCATAAATGTGTATATGAAGGTTTCTCAAGTATCTCAGCAGATCTTGGTTTGTCATTCCATATGTATTTGCCCTCTGGAATTTTTTTAGGCCAATTACTATAACATTTGAGACCTTTCAATATGTTTTGGCCTTCAAATTCTTGAGAAACCTTCATATACACATTTATGAAGGGAGAAGCAGTAGTGATTTGGGATACATGTACTTTAGTTCAGGTGAGAATGTTAAGGATGACTTGCTGACACTTGAAAACCAGAGTGTGGAGTACATTGAGATGACAACCTGCGAAATGTTTTATCCATTTATTCTACTACTGCACAGGCTTATCTCAGAGTGCTAGTTGGGCTTTTCTTTTCTTTGTTGTTAGGTTGTAATCTTGTACTCCCTGGTTCGATCTTATTAATGGGAATGTCTTCTTTCTGATGCTCTTTTTTAGTTAGTCAAGTTCTCTTGATTGTACGATCTCATACCTTTATGAATTGAATTTCATATGATATGCCCAAAATAATACTCCCAAATAATCTCGTGATGTTTCTGGTGTGAGTATTTATAAATATTACCCCAAGTCATCTGCAAAGGCAAGATGGCTGCTAATTTGACTTTTGTCTGACTTTTAGTGAATCCTTCACTGCCCAAAATAAACAGCAAAGGAGATGATGGGTCCCCTTGCCTAACACCTCTTCACTGCCCAGATGAATGAGAATGGGGGGGGGGTCTTTGTAGCCTAAAGGTTGGCGCCATAAGGGGCGTAGATACAGAATTGTTGAAGCCCATCTGTTCAAAAAAAGTGAGATAGGTCTGAAGTCCTTCCCGCTGTTTGTAGCATTATCTGTTTTAGGTATTAGAGGGATAAGAATACTACCCCATCAGTTGGGTTAGTTTAATAAGCCATATGGGCTTCCCAAGCTATCTCCTCTGCCTCCCTCACCTTACTAAAAATGTTTCCAAAAGTGACTGCTAGGCCTTACTCCTTATTCCAGATTTAGGTTGTATGGGAGCAAGCATCAATAGCAGCATCTCGGAAGTCCTTCATGCTTCCTTCTAAGACAGGGAGTAGGCAAGCCTTTATGGTCGGTCTTCCAGCTTAAGCACACTGTTGAAGTCTCCTCCAACAACCCACTTGTGATTGTTTGGTCAAAATGTCACTCAAATTAGGCCATAACAACCTCCTATCTTCTTCTGTGTGCTTTAGCATACACTGCTGAGTAAAGACTACACACTTATCCTATAATAAAGCCTGAAAGTTCCTAGTAAGAATCTGATCATCCTCTTTACCGGACTAAGTGAGTTTTCATTCCAAGAAATCTGACCCGAAAAAAGCAGGTTTTGAACATAAATATTTTGACCCGAACCAAAAATAACTCAAACCCGAAGACCTGTTAATTTTTTGGGTCGAAATGGGTTGCTTCGGGTTTGACCCGACGGGTTTAACCCTTTAAAGTCTTTTTTTATTAATTGTTATATTATATATATATACACACACACACACACACACATGTCAAATACTCTGTAATACTTCCAGATCCATCCCAATTAGCTTAAAAACCTGAATTTCTAAACTTTAAATTAAAAAGTGATAAAATGTACTCCAATGCTAACATACAAATCACACATGATCTTCGGTTCTCCTCCAACTTGGAGGCTCTAAGTTTAAACGATTAATTTATGCAACTTGAATAGTGAGAACACAGTACTCCGTAGAAGACTAGTGGAATTCCAATTAAGTCATCATCTTGAAGTGGCTCAAAAGATTTTTTAAAAGAATGAGATGAATTTTCAGTTATTTATTATTAAATTATCATCAAAATTTGAACATACTTTGTTTGAACTCTAGATTATTTGTTATTTTGATAATTATGTGTTGGGTTGTTCATTGGAGGTATGATGATGCTTACACATTCTTGCTACGCCCAAGTTTTTTTATTTTTGATAATGTTCTTTGTCTTGGTAAAGGTATTGATCCTCGTAGGACAAAATTCTCAAAACTTTTCAATGTTGTAAATCGGTATTTCAACTCGTTGGGCCGACCCAAACCCGTTAGCCGTGGGTCATGAACAAGCATTCATCAACCCGAACCCGAATTGACCCAAACTCAAACCCGAATCCAACTTGACTGACCGTTTTGCCAGATCTAAAGCATTTTCGCCCTTTGGGATGACCCTTTCCAAAGGAACTTATTGTGTGAGATTGAAAATATCAACCACATACATCACAACTTCTCCCCAAAAAGCTTTAGGTAACTTGGCATGAGAAAGTAGGGGTGAGCATGGTACGGTATTTAGCTTGTACCGATACCGTACCAAATATTTCGTTTCGGTATGGGATTTTACTCCGTACCGATCCTGAAATATCAGTTCGGTATGGTTCGGGATGGTTCGGTATCGGTTTCGGTACAAATCGGGATGAACATACATACCTACTTTACAGGTTAATATTTAACAATACCCCATTATTTTTGAAAATTAAAAGTGAATCTAAATAAAAAACCTGAAAAATAAAAACAAAAGAATATTTAAATGCAAGAGATGCGTATCAAAATTTAGTTTATATTTCACAAACTAAAAAAATGAATGGCGACAAAGGAGTATTTTGAGTCTTTGTGAATCTTTGTGAATACTTTTATGTTCATACACAAAAATTAAAACACAAATAAAAGTATGATTTACACATCATAGAACTTGAACCAATTTTATTTTAAAAATTATTATTAAGTGAAGGAATATAAAAATATAACTCCGGGGTATTTTTTCTTATAATATTTTAGTATATATGTTCGGTACGGGATTTTTGGTATGGGACGTCACTTCGTACCGTTCCCGAATACCGTACCGACCATTCGGTTCGGTACGGTTCGGTTCCTTCTTGGTACTTTTTTGGTTCGGTATTTTTCGGTTTGGTATTCTCGGTTTTTTCGAGAAATTTCGGTATCGGTTCGGTACTTGCTCACCCCTATGAGAAAGCACACATCGAAATCGTTCTTCAATAGTTTGATTCATTCTTTGTGCTAGCCCATTCAATTGTGATATCTTGGGTGGATTCTTCTCCAATCAAAATCCATTTTTCTTGCAATAGGCGTTAAAAGGACCTTTATACTCTTCTCCACTGCCAGACACTCAAACTTTGTTCCATTGTCACTTCGTAATTTTGAGTTTAGCATCAAACTGACGAGCAATCATAGCTCAATATTGACAAGAAATAGTTGGAACCTTAGACTTTTATGTAGCACATAGACCTAAGTTCCTCGAGAAAAATCATCAACTATTGTAAGAAAAAACTTAAAACCATATAAGGGCCTCATATATTAATATGAATAAGCTCAAATAAATGAGTATTATTTTTGCTTAATGGAAAACTAGCACGCGAGTGTTTGGAACGCAAACAAATAGAACAAGGTTATTTATTTAAAATACAAGCTTTGCTATTGGTAGCTAGTGTTAATAAAGACAAAACTTTAGAGGATGGATGGCCAAGACGTCGGTTCCAAAGGTCGAACGAACACTCCTTTATTGCTGACAATGCACTACCAGTTTGTGAGTGCTGAAAATAATATAAACCATCGTTTCACCATCCGGCACCAATTACCTGCATCGTGGCACGATCATGTAAGACACATAAAGCCCCATTGAATTTTACCAGACAGTTAGTCTTTATTATTAACTGGGAGATAAAGATCAATGCACAACTCAAATTAGGCACAAATAAGCTGTTATTCAGTATCACAAAATCATTCAATCGTACTCGCCCGTCAGTGGTAGCCGCAACCCATTTTCCATCTGGTAAGTAAATCCAACAACTCAGAATACTATGTGTATCAAATAGGCTACCCAACTCCCCTGTCATATGATTTGTAGCCCCAGTATCAATGATCCATGTTTTAGTTAGAGGAATACCTGACAACTTCTCTGTTGACCCATCTTTAACTGAAGCTAACAATGCTCAGAATGTGTCCCCATTGATTTGTCGTAAGAGAGGAAGTTGTAATGGGTGAGACAGGCTCCTACCCGGCTCTGTTGGACTATGATGTAGCCGCTGCATGAGCAGCGTATGGTGCCACTAGATCATGACCACCGTTGAATCTACGCCCACGCCCACGCACTCCCCCACATCCGCGCGTCCCCCACCCCTCTGGATAACCATGCCACTGAAAGCATGTATCCCTCTCATGTCCAACCTTTTTGCAATAACCACAGGTCACACTTTTATCACGAGGGGTATCAACAAAGGGAGCACGTGCAACAAACGCTTTGTTTTCAGGACATTCCCGAACCAAGGCTACCCCAGCAGTCTCCTCTTGCGTGAGTACGCTATATACACATGCAGTACTTGGGAAAGGCTCCTGCGAGAGAAGTGTTGAGCGTAGGTGTCCAAAAAGTGCCTCGTCAAGGCCCATCAAAAATTGATGAACCTTTTCCTCATCTCTTCGTTTCTCCAATTGTTGTGCAATGTTACACGTGCACTTTACACACGTCCACATGGGGAAAGGGTCGATGTCATTAAGATCATCCCATAGTTTCTTCAATTTGCCATAGTAAGTGGCAATGCTCAACCCATGTTGATCGCAAGTCGTCAATTCTCTTTTAATTTGTTGAATTTGGGGTCCGTTCACCATTGAATTCGAGCCTTGATTTCGTCCCATAATTCACTAGCCATCTCCATGTGAGAGATCGTCGTACGGAGTTACGATTCAATTGTATTTCGTATCAATTAGATGATCAAGGAATTATTCGTCCATCAATCTTCAAGATCCCCGGAATCTGTTGGTGGTTGTGGAATCAAGCCACCCACAAAACCAAACTTTTTGCGTGCCCGAAGAGCCGTGCGAATTGCACGCGCCCACGCTTAATAATTTTCACCTCGCAAAACAACCTGGATAATGATCAAACCCGGATTGTCATTTGCATGGAGATCGTACGGAGAAATTGTACGACGTTGTGGAACATCTTTAGCGTTCTTCGTTGACGCCGACTGATCATTGGTTGTGATGATCGGTCCCTGCGATTCCTCAGCAAAAGGGAGCACCGATTGGAAAAAAATTGAGAACCTTACGGCTCTGATACCATGTTATTCTTTGGAAACTAATGAGGGAATTATTGTGTATTTCTTGAATACTCTGGAAGATACAAGAAACATCAATATATACAACTCTACCATTTACACTCCTACCATACATAAAAGACTTAACAAATATAGCAAAGTCAAAACTCCTAAATCTACTCCTCCATAGACATGCGTGAAGTGCGCCAAACGTCCACCGAATATGCATGGCTTATTTGTTTCCAATAATAGCTCTTTAATTCCTAACAAAAGTATACCCTTTCCGTTAGATCCACCTACTCCTTGCTTGTAACACCTCCGCCCCTATATAAGATTGTTGAGTCATAGAATTGTTAATTTGCCTCACAAACCAATATAAGTCTCCTCACTCGTATGGTTCTAAAAAACTTCTCAAGGGTTATCCATCCTAAAATTGTTTCAAGTCAAGCGTGCTTAACTTTGAAATTTTTAAGTGATGATGTAACTCCACAACTCGTTTACCCAAATTAGCACAAACGAGCTATGGTGTTAAGGACTATTAAACACGTACTCCCTCCGTTCCTTTAAACTCTTCCACTTTTGACTTTTGGCAAAAATAAGGAAAGTGTAATTTTGGTTGACTTTCCAATTTTGCCTATGATGTGATGGGTAAAAGTAAGATATGATAGTTTGGTTATTAGTGAAAAAGTATGATGTGATAGGTAGGGTATGAAAAAATAAGGGTAAAAGTAGTTTTTAATAGAAAGTGGAAGTGTTTTAGGGAATTCAAAAAAACGAAAGAGAAAAGGTTTTGTGGAACGAAAGAAGTATTTTAGGCGGAGCAAAATGGTGTTTGTTAATTAAAAACTTAGCAAAAATAAGGAGTACATTACGGAAGCCATTACAATTTATGGTTACAAAATTGCTTTAAAACTTAGACTTTAAAACATTAAAGTAAGTCCTGAGCATCATCTTGGTTTCGCATCATCTTTCCAAAGTGGCTTGTCTCCAACACTACATGCATTTAAAAAAAATCTAACAGCCAACCGTCAGCAGGTACAATTAACGAAGAATGTACAATATAACAAGCATACATGTACAAAATATTTTGCATGTCAATCTTGTTTTTTTTCCGAATCAAATCATTATATCAACATTTGTATATTTTGTACCATCATGTATCCCTTATTGGTTTTCAACTTTTTCATTATCAACACAATGAACGCCCTTTAGCTCATTCGTGCGGCAGCTCATTCGTACGACAGCGGGTTCAATTTAGTGTACGGCATCTTTCTCAATATTTTGTTGGGTTGGGCTCCCAACTATGTGCTTTAAATGGCCCATTTTGGAGAATATGTTCTCATATTATTTTTTGGTCCACTTATTAAGAGTTAAAATAAAGGTAGCAGCTGTCCAGGGAGCACTCATTATCATCATTTACGCACAAAAAGGAAAAAAAACATCCAAAAAGAGAGAGAGGTGCGCAGCAGGTTTTTCAAAAAACGCAGAGCTGGTTTTCTGGACGATCGGAGGTCCTAATCTTGTCTGAGCTGAAATTTTAGGAGTTCAAGGACTCATAAAGCTTCAATCTGAACGGTGGAGATCAAATTCCAACGGTTAGAAATTGTTTTGTGAGCTTCGCACCAGCTGCTGTTTTTGTAGATGTTTTTACATCTTTGAGTTGATATTTTTTATTCTAGTGCCTTCGTAGTGTTGTTAAGGGCTAGATATCGTGGTGTTGTTGGATTGTTGATTTGTACACTCATTTGGTGATAGTGGAGTTGGTTAGACCGAAGGGTCTCGTGGTTTTTTACTCTTTCACGTTGAAAGGGTTTTCCACGTTAAAATCGTGTGCCTCATATTGTTTGTTTTGTGTTTGGATCATCTTGTTGCTTGGTTTGTTGCTTGGTTGTGCTTCTCACTGATTCTTTCAAGAGGGGAAAGTGTTTATCTTGGGCAATACACATTCATTTGTGTTCTTGCTTTCCCAACATATTTGTAGACCAAATTCCTCGTTTTCTAAATCGTTCTTAATTTTGGAAGAATATTTTTTTTCCTTGTTCTTTGTATTTCTTTAAATAAATTATCAACTCATAAATATATTCCAAATGCATTATATTTATATTTACATAATCATATAAGAGTATGTATAAACTTAACATGCTATAATAAATTTTACAATATATTTCCTCGTTTTGATTTTGTTAGAATATGTATTAGGTTTTAAGTTAATGGCCTCGTTGTAAATGGGCTCACAATTAGATTAGACTAGTAGACTCTATACATATCGTATTTGTTTAATAAAAGGATTAAATTCAATTGTATTATATTTCTACATGGTATCGGAGACAGATTGGACACCTGAAACCCTAGTAACCCTCGTTTGCCTCTCTTCCGCCGCCGTCGTCCGGGTCACCCTCGTTCCCTTTATCAATTTGTTGCTACTCCAATATTGTTGTCTTGTTTGTTGTTAACCAGCGGGGGATTTTACGTCGCCGCCTCAGATCTAGTTATACTGGTACAATTCAAGTCCAATCATCATCGTTCATAGGGGTGGCATTGTGGAGGTGTTCATCCGACCGTAATTGTGTTGGAGTTTTCAGCCCTATAAAGATTTGAGCTTTTGATCATGCTCAAGTCCTTTTGTCCTAAGATTTGTTGATCTTGGTTATTGTTGGTTCAAATTAATTTGGTTGCTGCTGAATTTTTGTTCTAGAGTAGCCGCATGTTATCTACTCGGTACGAGGCTAGTCGTCTTCAGCAATTTGTTGGTTTTGTGTTGCTTGTTTGCACTCCGCAGAAGAAAGGCTTTCATGTTCAGATCGAGCCACTTTTGATGGCGTTTTTCATGACATTGTTATTGGTTGTTTTTTTGGTAATTTCAATTGCAACCAGCCGAAAATGTTTGTGAGACTGGTCGCATAGTCGCACTTCAGTCCGGCAATACGTCGTCTAGATTTCGGATGCTTGTTAGTCGTCTCCGAGTCACCACGTGGGAGTGTTTGTTCGTTTGCTCGGTCGCCTTCATCTATTGTTGCAGCATATTGAAGTTTGGTCCACTCCAAGTTGTCCGTCAAGTTTTTTTTTTAAGTTCTAGTTTTATTTTCAAGTTGTTATTCGTAATTCTCATTCTCAACTTGAGGAGTGTTAAAGTATGTATTAGGTTAAGTTAATGGGCTCGTTGTATTAAAAAAAATTAGGATCTATACTATGAAAGTAGCATGAAAAAATATCTTCACAATTCAATTAAATTCAATGTAAATCTTTATTGGAATATTCGTAGCAAAAACATCTTCGATCAGACAAGCGCGGAAGTAATCCTTGCGTCGTCCCGTCCACGGGCGGAGGATGAAGAACTAACGAGACGGCGGCAAGCCTTAGCGATGGTAGCGACCATAACATTAGCATTAGAGACCTCTTGTGACTCGATCTTTTCCTTCAAAGTTTTTTCCTTTTTAAAGTTGAGTTTCTCATATTTTCTAATGTTGGGATTCATTCCGTCGAGACTCAGTTTACGTCCTCAGCCGTTTCAGGTATTTATCACCCCAAAAGATAGAATGGCAATGTAAACAACCAAAAGAGAATGCATGAACGAAGTCGACTGTAATCAACATATATGTAGTATCATTCAACTAAACAGAATGTGAAAACAGAACAATGTTCTAGACTCTATCTAAAGAACCTATCATATGGTGGTGGTTGGGGGTCAAAATCATCACTTAAGCACGCTCTCCACGGATGCGCCTGGCAAGCTGAATGTCCTTGGGCATGATGGTGACCCTCTTGGCATGAATGGCACAAAGGTTTGTGTCCTCAAACAGACCAACCAAGTACGCCTCTGCAGCCTCCTGGAGGGCGAGAACTGCGTGACTCTGGAAACGCAAGTCTGTCTTGAAATCCTGTGCTATTTCTCGGACTAGCCTCTGGAATGGCAGCTTCCTGATGAGAAGCTCAGTGCTCTTCTGGTACTTGCGGATTTCACTGTATTGTTGTTTTCAAAAAAAACACATTTACGCCATTTAGAATCAGATTGATTCAAAACCAAAGTGATCCCAGATATAGATATGAGAACGAGAAGCTTACCGGAGGGCAACTGTTCCAGGGCGGTAACGATGGGGCTTCTTCACACCACCTGTGGTAGGTGCAGATTTCCGAGCAGCCTTTAGGATACAAAAAGCATAATCAATTACGGAGTAATGTCCAGGCCTATGAACCTCAAATCGATACGATTAAGAATCATCAAATTTCACACCCTAAATTTGATATAAAATTGGAAAATTGACAATTAAACCATTGGCGATCTAGGATTCACAAATCTAAACCCTAAATTTGATATTCAATGGTTAGAGTTTGGCGGTTCGAGTAGATGAACTATGAACCGACGGGCGGCATACCTTGGTAGCGAGTTGCTTCCTAGGAGCCTTTCCGCCGGTAGACTTCCGGGCCGTTTGCTTGGTACGGGCCATTGCTCCGATTACAATACCAACGCAGAGATAAACAGCGACGATCTGTGCAAACCAAGCGAGGATTAAACAAATTTCACATCAATATAATAATCAATATTCGGAATTTCGAATCTGATCGAAGAGAATCCATACCTGGAGAGAAGGTTTTGATCGGGAGCGAAGAAGACGCAGAACTGCAGAAGTAGAAAGCGACGTGGGTGGAAGAAGATTGCGGTTAGGTTTATATAGAGAGGGAGAGACGGGGGGTTTTGAAACTGTGAGGATCCGTGTGCTTTGATCTGATTGGTTGGGGCTTGGAATGGATGGCTGGGATTTGTGCGATTAGAATGACGAGGATCGATGAGTGGGTTTGTTGTGCTTCTTTGCAATGTTGACCGTTGGCGTGCTTATAACTCCGCCGACTTTCCGTCTTGGAGCGCAACTGATTCGGTACTTTTAATTGGGCCTTTTATTCGTTCCCACTGTTTAAGGTCGCAAATTATATTATACATCCGGATGTACTTAGAGATATGTACAGCCGGCGTTTAATAGGGCGAAAGGAAGCGCAAAAAACAGGCGATGAAGGAGGCTGGTCGATCGGAAGTCGGATATGTGCGAATCTATGATGATGATCGATGATGATGATTGATGATGCGATGATGATGATTGATGATGAAGAAGGAAGACTGATGATGATGATGATGATGGGGTTTTGCTGATGATTCTGCAGCAGAGATGATGCATTGATGAAGAAGAAGAAGAAGGAAGACTGGTGATGATGGAGTCTCTGCTGCGGTGATGAAGAAGAAGAAGAAGGAAGACTGGTGATGATGGTGGAGTTTTGCAGGGGATGATGATTGAAATCTTCGGTCAAGAATGAATACTGGTTTAAGTGGAAATGAGTACAAGTAGTTTTTAGAATGTGTATTCGGTTATTTGTAAATTAATATTGCACAAATAAGTAAAAATGAATACTTCTTTATTTTAAAATGAGTATTAACTTTGCCAGAATGAATAATACGTATTTCGAAATAAATGTTTATATTTGTACAAAAATGAGTACTACTTTATTTTAGAATGAGTATTACCGGGATGTACCTATTTCTAGGTACATCCGGATGTACCATATACCAACTCATTTAAGCTTTCTTTTTTATTCTGATTTTTAATTTCTAAGTTACTCCGCATTTTTTTCAAACCCCTACCTCTTTTTTCAAATTACTTTTAGTTTTTGTTTTTAACTTTTTTCAATTTGTTCATCATTATCTTGTTTTTTCAAACTTCTTCCAATTTCTTTTAACTCTTTTTAGTATTTCTAATTTTTTTATAGTTTTTTGCATCTTCTTCATTTTTGCATAGTCCTAATTTCTAAAGTCCTATATTTACAATCTAAATTAACACAGCCTTAATGGTTCTCCAAATCGGTGCAGATTCCAATCGTTAAAATTCACCTTACGTTTTATCCAGTCAATCTTTTCAACATTCCTAAAGTATGTATCCACTAGATGGATAATGATCTTTTTGTTTGCTTCGTCCCTCAAACGTGTTTACTAGTGAGAACATTAACTCGGTGTGCCTCGAAGTGCGGGGTTAATCTCTTTGTCGTCCAATAGACTACCAACATTGCCTATTTCGGTCGTGAGTACTTCGATTCAGTATCCCTTAGCGTCTTACTGACGTAATAAACTAGATGCTGGACTTCTTCCTCCCGCATGATCATTGTGCAAACTTTAGTGTCTGAAATTGCCAAATACAAAACCAATATATCCACTAGATTTAGTTTAGGCAACACGGGGGTTACCCAAATACCTCCTTAACTATTTGAATGCTTCCTGGCACTCGTGGATCCACTCAAAAGTGGCTTTCCTCTTGATCACGGTAATGAAAAGGTGTGCTTTCTCAGCCAGCTTAGACACGTATATGTGGCATCTACGACAATCATACATTCATATAATTATTGGTGTGCTATTGGGAATCCAATTCTCCATCGTACCGCTTGATGAAGAGACTTTTAAACCGTAGAGGGTAGGGTTCCACAAATATTTCTAGGGCGAGGGGAGTATTGGTATGGGTCGTAAAAACCAGTCCATGGTTCACCTTGCGCTGCATCTCTTGAATCTGCCGCTGAAGATCCTTAAAATCCCCTGTCTCCGGGTTCGATTGTCTCGAGCGCTAGGGCGACAGAACCCTTAGCCAGCTTTGTGCCTCATCCTCTACCCGGCTTTTAGGAGCTGCTCGGGTTCTGCTTCGGCGTTGTTCTCATGGGATGATTTCACCCGGTTAGGCTAGGGTCATTCCATGCCCATATATATTCCTTTTTTGGGGTCTTCCCCAACCTTCCGCTAACTAGGACCCGCCGGACATCCATTCGAATATCGTGCCTCTCGGGTTCCCAATCTCCGTATTGTATAGCTGGTTGGTTGTCCGGGGTCCAGTCGGTGCTCGACCTATCATCCGGATGTTGTCCCTGGTTTCCCCAATTATACTGGGCTAACTCGGCCTCCAGGCGCCTCTTGATGGCTTCCCTTACTTTCTCGATCTTTTCAGGAGTATAAAGCTCTTAAAGGATTGGGTTGGTCTGCCCCCAAACTGTTTGGAGGATCTGTCGTGGTTGCTCTACCGGGTTCTTGGGAACTCTGGAGGGTCCTTGGAGGGCTCGCTCAAGCCTTTCCATGACGTTAACCATCATGTTGATGATGTTGTTTAGGGGCCGCCTCTGACCCAGTTAGTTTGAGTGGCATTGTGCTGTTTAGGCACGCTTGTCGCAACATATGATTGCTGCAAGTTAGTGGCATTACGCATGGAGTTCCTTGTTCTTTGTCCAGCCATACTCTCCCGATATCAATCTCACAGTTTAGCTATCAATGAAAGCACCAATGATGGGATTTAGTCTAACCACTATGGTGTGCAAAGAACTAAAATGAGAATAAAAGCAGTATTGGTGGAATATGTAGAACTCTTGTAGGTTTGTGTTAGCTCACTTTCGCTTGGGTTACTACTATAGAGTGTTTACCCTTTATTTATAGTCTAATTCTATCATATATAAGACATGTAATGTTATGCACTACATTATCAGTAATTCGTCCATCATGCATCAATTATGGCGGGGAATCAGTCATTAATCCCCCCGTAATCTCACCATTTAGGGAATCACGTCTTTTCTTCGTACCGAGCCTAATCCATTACTTTGGATCAACCTTTGATTCACTACTTCATCCGATCATCCTTCACGCTCCGGCACTAGGCTTTATTCATGTTAGGCCTCAGAATTGTATATGGGCAGCCTAAAGCCTATTCAGTGATCAGGATATGCACGAGTATCATAGTAGCATTGCGAACGAGAAACATGATGTTCAGTTCAATTAGCACGCCGATGATGGTTGTGTGATTAAGTGACGAAAGGAGATGATGAAGATGGAAAAGGGGTTACAGATCAGAATGAGATGATGGAGATGGAAAAGGGTAGCTATGCAACTAAGATAGGTCTGCGTGTGGAGGAAAGCGACTTCTAAATTAAAATCCGGAAGTAACAATCCGCAATTTTGCCTTTATTCTCCCTTTGACCATCTTTCATTTTTCGTTTGACACTCCATCCAAACGCGGGATAAAATCACTTTGAGCATAAAATATACTGTATAAAATTAGATTGTCAACCGACGGAGATTGTCATAGTTTAATTATTTGGTCAAACCTTAATACTCTTTGATAGGGAATTATGAAAAAAATATATTCAGTTTTAATGCACCTTTAGTAAAATTAGGTTTATTATAAATATAGTATAGAAATATCAAATTTTTATTATATATAATTGTTTTAAATAATATTTAAATCGTAGTCAAAAGATACCACAGTTTGACCAGAATAATCAAGCTGCATTAATTTTTTAGGCGTGAAAGAAGTCTCATACTCCCTTCGTCCCGTGAAACCTTTCCCCTTTCTTTTTTTATCCGTCTCACAAAACACTTCTCATTTCTATTAAAAAGTCACTTTTACCCCTTATTTTTTTATACCCTAACTATCACATCATATCTTTTTACTAATAATATATCCATCAAATCATAGTTTTACCCATCATATCAAAGGATATTTTTGGAAATATAATACCAAAATACACTACCTTAAATCCCTCATAAAAAGTAAATGTCTCATGTTTCACGGGACGGAGGGAGTATTATTATAGTGTAAAATTCATTTTAAGATAAAAATATTAAGTATGTACTACTCCCTCCGTCCCAATTTAAATCTCCTGTTTTAACTTTTGGGCATATTTAAAGAAAATAAAAAAAGAGTTGATTTTTCGAAATTGACATTATTTTTTAGGAGGAGTGATGATGAATGATAAGATAAAGTGAAGAAGATTTACTTATTTTAAGGGTAGTTTAGATATTTTATTTTTAAAAGTTTACGAAAACAATTAACATACAACATATTTTGAAACAGAGAAAAAAGGCAAACAGAGAATTTAAAATGAGACATAGAGAGTACTTTTTTAGATAATTTTGATATAAAAGTTACTCCGTATATTTTAGATAATTTCTTTTATAATTACTCGTATTGTTTTATATAAGCCATTTCTCAGGCGATGCATTTTCCTAATTACGGAGTAATAAAAGAGTTGCTTCTGTTGTAGGGTTTGGGATATTTTTGTTTGTTTAATCTGATACAACACCTAGATAGAATACGGATTCCACATTTTCTATTCCTTTCCGCCGCCGCTAAGCCTTCTTTCAATCCGTTTCTGGCAATTTTGTGATTGCAATCAGTGAGTAATCAGTGGATCTGTGGCTGCATTTGGGTTTCGTTTTTTTATTTTTTGAATTTTTGGACCGTTGAGTTGCCGGAGATGGCGGAGAAGAAGGCGGACGAGCAAGAGGAGGTCAAGGGCGGGGAGTTATTTTTCTGCGGGTGCTCGAGCTGGGATGCCATTGGTCGTCGCAAGGTGTCGCCGGAGCACAACCTGTTTTCTCCTGTGAGGCTTCGACCTCTGGTCGGCGTCAATATTTGCTTAGTTGCTTCTGGCTGTGGTAAAGTTATCAGCTTCCCTCCTCTCTTTTTTTTTCATTTTTGAATTTCTACTACCTGCACAATGTAGCTGCTAGAATGTTTATAATCCACTTCAATTCTTTTAGGGTCCGTTTGGAATCGGTCACATTGCCAGGGAAGGAAATTAAGAAAGAAAAATAATGGTTCATTTTTTTCTTCAAAATCAATTT